GACCACGTGTTCCGCTGGCTGGCCTACTCCTACGCGTCCACCCACCGCCTCATGACGGACGCTCGGAGGAGGGTCTGCCACACGGAAGACTTCCAGAAGGAAGACGGGACGGTCAACGGGGCTTCTTGGCACACGGTGGCTGGAAGTAAGTCTCCATCTGCCCTACTTTTCCTCATGGACCAGCTGATCCATGATCCATGATGGGGACTGTGAGGAGAGGGAGGAGCCCACCCCTCTTTACTACGGGCCTGGCACTGCCAGACAAAAATTCTCCATCGTAGGAGCTTCAAACCTTGGGAACTTACTCCCTTGCATTTCCGGAGGCTCCATGCTCCAGTTCCGGAGGGACCAGGACCATGCTCCCTCCAAAGGCTCTTCTATCCTCCAGTGGCTGCCAGCCACACTTGGCACACACCTTGGCTCATGGCAGTGCCCTTCCAATCCTCGCCTCTGTCTTCACATGGCCAGCTTCTCTTGCGTTCCAAAGTTCCTTCCCCTTATAAGTTGGGGCTCCCCTAATCCCTTAACTTGATGGCATCTGCAAGGACCCTATTTCCAAACCAGGCACATTCATCAGTTCTACATATGAGGACTTCCACCTATCTTTTCAGGGGCCACAATGTAACCCGCCACACCCTCTTTTGTCATGATCACCAGTGTTATTGTTAAATAATAGCGGTGTGGGTGCCATGCGCTGATGCTGTACTAAGTCCTCTGCAGCGTACATTTCATTACATCCTTACCACCATCTTTGAGGTCCTCTGATGCAATGCACTCCCACTGGATGAATGTGGTAACTCAGGTTTAGAGGTGGCAAGAGGTCCGCCCAAGGAAGGGCCGAGTAGAAATCTGTTACTCACCGGGCTGCTCTTAGTTGCTGCACTGTTCTGCTACTCATAGGGTCCAACATGAGTAAAATAGGAGTTAGCGGAAATGTTGGAATGAAAAACAAGCCCTATGGTGGGACTTTTCCAAAGGACAGAGAGGGCCAGAGCCCATTAGGTTAGGGGGACATCCTGGGGTGGAAACCTGCAGAGAGGGACTGGCCTTTGGTCTGGGCCCAGCTGTGGTGTGCGTCAGCACTGCCGGTGTGTCCTGATAGCCGGATATGTGGTGAGACCATTTCACACACGGCCCTATCGCCTAGAGTCCAGCAGATGGAGCCTCCCTGTGTCTCCCTGTGGGGAGTCCATACAGCAGGGACCCCATTACAGATTCAGGATCTTTCATGGTGGCCTTCAGAAAGGCCCCTGTCCGCCCGAGTCTCAGGGTGAGCACTTCATTTTCTGTTTGTGGGTGGTCCCCAACCCAGGGCTCCTAAAGGAGAAGGGCGAGGGTGTCGGAGTCCTGAGGTGAGGATCCCTGATGGGCAGAGTTGGATCAAGAACCCTGGTGGCACAGTGGTTAAGCACTCCGCTACGTTTCGAGAGAAGCACATGCAGTCCGCGTCCATCGTGGAAGCTGAGGCGGGTCTGCTCTGTCCTCTAATCGCTGCGGGTCACCATCGATTTCAAAGCAAGTTATTGCAAGGACCCAGATGTGATGCTCCTTGCTTCTTCTCCTGGCTTTATGTGAAGGTTGGTCAAGCCAATGATGGATGGGAAAACTACCCCACGGCAGACTAACAGGATTGCAAATCCTACTCCTGCATTCAGTTGCTGTGTGACCCCCCAAGGAAGTACCTTTACCTCCGAACTTCCATTTATTCCCATTTGTAAAATGAAGCGATGATGATGATGATGATGATGATGATGATGATGATGATGATAATGATAATCCCTCCCTCTGGGGTTGTTGTGATGATTCCATAGCTTGTCAAACCTATGTACCCTCAGAAATGCTTTCACACAGATAGCGCATGCGTTCTGTTGGTTTGCCAACCATGCCCTCCTCCAAAGAAATAGTTTCATAAGCATGATATGCTAACTTTTTTCACAGCAACCTACTTCCCCACCCCCTATTGGCACAGTATGCTTGTATAGCGCCCGTGTGTTATTTGCATAACAATATGGTGCCTGGGTATGAAGCACTCCTGTCACCTGCCTTCTCTGATTTTCAGAAGCCTGTTGGCCACGAGGCCTCCTTGATGCACATGTTCCTTTTCTCTTTCCCAGGATACCTATTAGCCCGCGTGTTGTTTCGCTTAGCCCAGGCTCCAGCCTTCCCCTCTCGCTCAGGTATGCTTCCTCTCCTGGGGGCAGACGAAGAGCAGTTGCAGGAACCTTTGTTGCTATGCCATCTGAACCCAGGGGCAGGCGAGTGGTCCACCAAACAGAGGCGTTGTAGCTGCCCCTGTGATGGATTTCCTCCGTAAGCGATCAGAAAGGAAATACACGTCCCTCCCTATCAGGACAATTCCCCAGTGACTTTTCAACCTCGGCGGTGTGACCTACCCAAACCATTGAGTGAGATGCCTCCATGGACTTTGTAAAGGCCGCTATGATTAGTTGGACACGAACCCAGCTGGATCCATCCGTGCCTGGTCAATAATAAAGATTTCTGAAGCCCATGGCCACAGAAACCCACCTTTTCCTTTTAATTCTATTTCCCATGAGTTCTGAGGCTCGGTGGCCCTGAGTCTTTTTCATTGTGCTGCTTCGTGGGGGCATCATGAAGTCTGCCGTAGCTTTTCTTTGCAGATGATTGATGGTCATTTCTCATCTGCCTCCCCACACCCACCCCACCTTGCTTCCTGCACGCATTTCTTTCCCACTCGTCATCAGAGCGTGGATGGAGGTTAGTTAATGGAGAGTGCTACCACTTAGCACAAGACTCCATAAATCCCAGCATGTGTCCTGTGTGCCTTTCACGTCCGATTGGCAAAAAAATTAAATATGGGAAAAAAAAGAAAAACCCTAAATCATTGTTGTTAGGTGACAGTGAACCAGTTCTGATGCACAGGGGCTGATTTACAATGGAAGGAACCACAGTCGTGCCAGCCTCCCAATTGTTGTTGTTTGAGGCCATATTTGCAGCCATTATGCCACTGCATCTCCAGGGCCTCTCTTCTGTTTGCTGCCCCTGCACTTCGCCAGGTGGGATGTCCTTCTCCAGGGGCTGGTCTCTCCTGCTAACAGGTCCAGAGTATGTGAGACAGTCTCGCCATCCTCACCTCTAAGGAGCCTTCTGGCTGTACTTCCTCCAAGACAGGCGTGTTTGTTCTTTTGGCGGCCCATGGCACTTCAAGATTCTTCGCCAACACCTCGCTGTGGGTCAGAATTGACTTTATGGTGGACGGTTGGGTATAGCTGACTTCAGCATAGTTACAGGTGAAACTTTAATTATACATTTCAAATCCATAGCGTTCACGGATACTTCTAGAAACAGTGTGTGAACTGGAATTTCATAACATATATTCAGCTGCTTCCCTGGAAAGCACTTTGTTCAGTGAGCAAGACATGCAAGTTGTCCTTGTCTGCCTTCCCCAAAGCCACGCCTGCTGGG